CCGTGACTTGAAGCTCCTGTATCTCCTCCCAGAAGGCAGGAGAGAGAACAGTCTGTGACCTGGGTGAGAGCTGTCCTTTATTATTTTGTAAGCTCTGCTGCGGCAGCGGGAGGTGGAGATGAGTTCCAGAGAGGGCAGGGGGCAGCCGACGGTTGTCTCTGCCATCCTGATCACTCTCTGCAGGGCTTTCTTGTCCGCAGCTGAGCATCCTGCATACCACCCCGAGATGGAGTATGACAGCACGCTCTCGATGGTCGCCCGGTAGAAGGACACCAGCAGCTTCTTGTTCAGTCGGTTCCTCCGAAGCACCCTCAGGGAGTGTAGTCGCTGCTGGGGCTTCTTAACTGCTGCAGTGGTGTGTGCTGTCCAGCTGAGGCTCTCCCAAATGTGAACCCCCAGGAACTTAAAGGTGGAGACCCTCTCCACTCTCTCTCCATTGAGGTGAAGGGGGGCGCGTTCTGGACGGTGCTTTCTGAAGTCTATGATGATTTCTTTAGTTTTGCTTGTGTTCAGATGTAGGTTGTTAGCTGAACACCACGCAGACAGCTTCAGGATCTCTGTATGCCGACTCGTCGTCTCCCTTATATATTTGGCCGACCTCGGTGGTGTCATCTGCACATTTTATAATGGAGTTGGAGGGGTGGGTGGGAAAGCAGTCATGTGTGTAGAGTGTGTAGAATAGCGGGCTCAGCACGCAGCCCTGCGGGGAGCCAGTGCTGAGGCTGCGGGTGGAGGAGCAATAAGGGCCTATTTTCACTGTCTGAGGACGGTCTGTGAGGAAATGATTTACCCAGGCTCATATGATGGAGGGGAAACCTAGGCTTGACAGTTTTTCCACTAGTATGTCGGGTATGATGGTGTTAAGAGCTGAGCTAACATCGACAAACAGCATCCTTATATAGTTGCCTGGGCCTTCTAGGTGGCTCACAGCTGTGTGAAGGACCGTGGCGATAGCATCATCCGTGGATCTGTTAGCTCTATAGGCAAACTGATGAGGGTCGAGGGAGGGTGGCAGGCTGGCTTTGATGTAGTCGGCTATCAGTCTTTCGAAACATTTCATCACCGCTGATGTTAGGGCTATTTGCCTGTAGTCGTTGAGCTCTCTGACTGGTGTCTTTTTGGGGACAGGAATGATGGTCTTCAGACAGGATGGAATGCTAGCTTGTGACAGGGACAGGTTGAATATCCTGGTCAGGACCCCTGAAAGCTGGTCAGCACAAGCTTTGAGTACTTTGCAGAGTACTCCATCTGGTCCTGCGGCTTTTTCCAGGATTCATCACAGACCTCAAGCGTCACCTGATGTCTTTGAGAGTGGGAGGTGGTATGGACTGGTATGGAGCCTTGGTAGTTTTGCAGGTACAGGGGCAGAGTAGAAAAGTGGGGGGGGTCTGCTAGCCTCAAAGCGGGCAAAGAAGTTTGTTTTAGGTTCCTCTGCAGGGTGGCGTCAGCTCTAGTAGTGCCAGATGTTTTGCCCTTATAGTTGGTTAGCTGGTGAAGGCCCTGCCAAACGCACCGTGCGTTGTTATGAGCGAGATTCTCCTCCACTTTTCCCTTGTAGTCCTCCTTCACATCCTTGATGCCTCTCCTCAGGTTCGCCCTTGCCATGCTGTACTGGGCTGCGTCCCCCGACCTGAAGGCTGTGTCACGGGAACTCAGGAGAGACCGCACCGCTCTTGTCATCCATGGTTTTTGGTTTGGGTAGACCCGAATGCGTTTTTCCACAGTTACAGTGCCTGTGCAGAACTTGATGTAAGATAAGACAGCCTCTGTGTGTTCCTCCAAGTCTGTCTGTTCAAATATGTCCCACGCTGTGTGTTCGAAGCTGGTCTTGGCAGTTGTGAGAGTGCCCCCTCGGGCCAGGTTCTGATATATTTGACCACCAGCTTGGTGTTACTTCTGAGGGGGGTGTAAGCTGGGATGAGAAGCAGTAAGAGATGGTCAGATAGACTTAAATGGGGGAGTGGTACCTACCGCTCTGTAAGCATGCTTCAGGTTAGAATACACCCGGTCCAATGTATTCTTTCCTCTGGTGGTACATCGTATATTGTACACATTTGGGAGCACATATTTTTAGACTTGCATGATTGAAGTCTCCAGCTACAATACGAACTCAGTCGGGATGGGACCATCTGTTGTTATTATAATTAAAGGGGACCTATCATGCAAAATGCACTTTTGTACAATCTTGTATACATGAATATGTGGTCCCGGTGTGTCAGGGAACTCACCAAGTGTCCAGAAAAACACAACCCTCTCTCTTTTCCTCCCATACCCAAATCGCTAAAAAACGGGGCTGCAACGGATTCTGATACAGACTGATACAGATTTGAAAGTCCTCTGACGTCAGGAACGAGGAGCTCCGCCTATATGGGCAACTCTCCACCTATCAGAGGAGACAGCCACGGCCATTGCCATTCAAAAGCAGGCTGGAGACGCTGTAGTACATATGCCAGGCTGTAGGTGGTGCTGTTCTCAACAGAATCAGCCTTTGCAAAAAACAGGGGCTAAAAAAGTGCAATAGCGCAAAATGAGGCATGGCTAAAAATGCCATGATCTTGTTTGGTATTTTGAAAAAAAAACTTCACAGACATGTTTTATATAGGTATGGCCCTACAAATATTATTCAAATATAGCATGATAGGTCCACTTTAATCTCTGGAGGTGGTCAAGTGCAATGCTGGCGTCAGCATTGCCAGCATCAGGGTGGGATATAAACAGTGTGTGATTATCACCCCTGTCAGCTCTCTAGGCAGGTAAAAGGGTCTGCACATAATAGCATTACTTACAGGTCGGGGAGAGCAAATGTGTATGTGTAACCCCTGCCGTCCATGCACCAGTCGTTGTGGATGTAAACACACAGACCACCCCCTCGGCTCTTACCGGAAGCGCTGTTCCTGTCGTAGCAGTGGGTAGAGCGGCCTGGTAGCTGCACTGCTGCGGCCGGAATCCGCGAGTGTAGCCAGGCTTCCGTGATGATCATCACACAGCAGTCGCGTACGTTCGTGTTAGCAGCTATTAGTACCTCCATTTCGTCAATTTTGTGGACGATGGACATGGCATTTGCGAGGAAGAGGCTTGGTAGTGGTGGTCGGTGCGGCCGCTTCCTTAGCCTAGCGAGCAGGCCTGCACGGCATCCTCGCTTCTGCTTCCTCTCCCTCCGGCGCCTGCGTTGCTTCACAGGCCCGAAAACAATCCGGGGAGACCCGAGTGGTCTCGCTATGTCCTCCGGTATGTTGTTAGTCCGGTGGAAATCGGCTGTGATGTCAGAGCGACAACTCATCCCGATGTCAAATAAGTCCATGCGACTGTATATATATTTTGCCTGTTCTAGGGCGTTCACACACACACACATAAAAACAAAAAACAGTGCACAACCAAAACAGAGAGCCGTGAGCCGCAGCGCCTGAGCGCGCCGCCATCTTGCCATGGACACATACCATTCTGACATGACCAGCAGGCTCTCTAGCGCCACCAAGGTAGCATGTTTGAAAGACCACACAACTCGCACAAAAAGTCTGATTGACTTGAAATGTGGTACAGACATTGAGCTGAAGACGCTTTACAAAAAGAACTACCAGGCTCCGCCCACTCAGATGTGTTGCTCATTAGCATAATGTGAAAGCTTACTACAATCTTTTCCATTTGAATCTGTCAACACATACTTTTTTATAAAACATTCGGGGGACAGTCTACACATTACTCTTCAAAATGAGCAAGATCAGTAAAAAAACATGGCTGCCATAAATCGAAATGGGAAATAATGCTCATGCCTCATTGGATATGCTCAAACTTGATACCGACCCAGAGGGGGCCGCTAAGATCAACACAATGTGTAACTTTCTAACAGAAATTAAGAAAATTATAATACATGCTCGGGGGGGGGGGGGGGGGGTATTAAATGAGATCTCATGTATCGTGGTGATTTAATAATGTGGGCGTGGCCATATTACATTTTCTTAATTTACGATGATCTAGAATAAGCTACAAACGCTAAACTGCGTACACACGTCACAACTCATGAACTTTATAGAACGTACAGAAAATGTGTACATTTCTGTTGAATAACATTAGAAACGGGCTAAAGCAAATCAAATACGAACTCTTGCTAGAGAGTAGGGTCGTAAATAAAAAATAATTCAGATGGAATTTGAAATGTAACACTAAATTGCAAATTAATATCTGCAGCTCAAATGACAAGTTTTGTAGGTCAAAAGAGAACAACACACCATTTTTTACAATTTACATTTGTCAGCTAAACATTGTCTAAACTGCTCCAAACCTTACATGAGGGGTCCAGTCCTGAGGCTACCCAAGCATCATGCCCAGACTAAGTCCTAGCAACGCCTTTTTAAAGTGGAAAATATAGTAAAGGTGACTGGAGCGCATGCCAAAGAGGGCAGGGGGTGGGTGAGGGCCCGTTCAAACGCTGCGTGAAGCTTTGATTAAGTTTGAATGCATAGAGTAACAAACTTACACATTTTAAGCAAATCTGTTATCTTTTTCTAAACATAACCAAGTAGTTTTGTTGCCTATGTCTTTAGTTTTGTCTCAATGAACAAGTTAACCACATGTTTAAAAACTGAGAAATGTGTTCACTTCTGGTGTGCTGTAATAAGTCTTGACAATCACAAAATCATATTTAGGGGGTCAACAAACTGAGTTTCTGTGTGGGCCTGGGGCTGTGGGACATCTGAGAGGAGGGGCACTAATGTGTCCTGTGATGTTCTTGTTGTGATGAGCATGTTGTTGTGTTTGTGTGAAGGTGGAGGCTCTGCTATGGATCAGTGTGAGGACAGAGAGGAGGGAGCCCCCCCCCTCTCTGTGTGGGGAACATGACAGCCAGACTAAAGCTCAGAGGTGAGATCTCCAACTGTCCATGACTCTTCTCCATGTCACAGCTCAGCACTCATTATTCACTCAAAGCTCTGTGTTGTGTTCCAGCCCAGAGGAACACACCACATTCTGCTGGACCTGGACCTGGACCTGAAGCTGGACCTGGACCTGGACCTGAAGCTGGACTGGACCTGGACCTTTGAAAAACAAAGAAAGTATTTTTTTTGCATGAACCCATGTTATTTCAGATGTAAGATTATATAATATTTTCTGTTGGTTTCTTTTGGATCTCTGCAGGGAGAAAATATGGCGTCACTGAAAAAGATCCTCTTCAGTACTTTAGAACATTTGGGGAAAGAGGACTTTGAAGAATTCAAGTGGCACTTGCAGCTGAAGGTCCTAGGATTTGAAGGAATCCCAAAGAGTCGACTAGAGGATGCATGTCGGACGCAAACTGTGGACCATATGTTTCTGAACTACGGCATTAACACTATTAAAGTGACCAGAAACGTTTTGAAGGAGATGAATCAGAATCTTCTGGAGGAGAAATTATCAGAAATCACATCAGAACCGACAGGTAGGTCATTAGTTAAAAAACTGTTTTACAAACAGGGAACCTGAGGTCAGGTAAATCACAATGATAACATGGATTGGATGTGTCCTCCTGATATACCACACAGAGAAACACCACCTGCTCATGGTGTCAGGGATTAGGTACCCCCATGGCCCTGAAAGCTCAGTGGTCAGGGTCAATAGTTTCTGGCAGGGTCACTTTTTAGATCAGCTACTTACAAAAAAAGCAACCCTATTAGGCAGACCAGGTCCTCATCCTGCAGCCAGGCACTGGGGTCTACACACCACTGGGTCTAAGGGTCCAATCAATGCCAGTTGGGTTGTAAGTGAAGGAGAGGAACATGGTATACAAACTTCAAACAGCCGTCACCTCTCTGCTGGGGACGGATCCGGTGTTGGAGCAGGACCAACTATACAAAGTTGGGCTCACCTCTACACATTGAACCGGCTCTGGAAAGAAACTCCTGGATAGGGATTAGACTCTCTGCTTTTCCAGAGTTACCCAGGTCACCTTTGAGGTTCATTGAGAGGAAAGCTGTCCCTGTTCTCTCTGCCGATGCATCGACCAACAGTTCAGAGTAACTTCCTCTCTTGCAGTCTCTGGGTCATGGCACCAGCTGGGGATACATTCAGTAGTTAGGCTGGGGCTCCACATTTGGGTCAATAGAGTTTTCCATCCACCCTGTCTTATCGACTAAGGGAAAGACTATTACTGTGACCCCCAGGGCGTCTTGTTGATAGTAGGCTATTGCAGGATTACGCAGTATTTGGACAATTACTAAGAGCAATACACTTCCTGTATAACTGGAGTGAGAGCTGAGTCCACATCCTCAGTGGTCGATCTGCCAGGGTCGAGCCTCGTCTTCCAGCAGCAGGAATAAGAGTCGCTCAGGTTTAGGGCCATGGTTTTCTGGGGACAACAGATTGTTCATTCTAGTTTCGAAAATATTTTTTTTCAAAGCAACAGTTTTGGAAGATACAGCTTATTGATGAAGGAAAATAATCTACTGTCTTGTCAAAAATGTGTCAAATTAGGAACCAAACTTGTGATGGTTATTTTATGTGGAAAGTATCATTGTCTCAATTGAGGGATTCTTTTTTCATCATTCAGAGATTCATTCAGAGATTCATTCAGAGAGTCTTATTCAGTGCCAAGGGAACCTCAAATTCAACCTGAAGATAAAAATTGAGAAAATCATAAAAACGGGTAATTCAAGACCTCTAAATGAAATCTACACGGAGATCTACATCACCATGGGAGAAACTTCAGCTGAAGAACATGAGGTCAGACAGATTGAAACAGCTTCCAGGAAACCAGACAGACCAGAAACAATCATCAGACAAGAAGAACTCTTTAAAGCCTCACCTGGAAGAGATGCACCCATCAGAGTGATGACAAAGGGAGTGGCTGGCATCGGGAAAACAGTCTTAACACAGAAGTTCACTCTGGACTGGGCTGAAGGCAAAGCCAACCAGGACATCCAGTTCACATTTCCATTACCTTTCAGAGAGCTGAATGTGGTGAGAGAGAACAAGTACAGCTTGGTGGAACTTGTTCATCACTTCTTCACTGAAACCAGAGACGCAGGAATCTGCAGGTTTGATCAGTTCCCGGTTGTGTTCATCTTTGACGGTCTGGATGAGTGTCGACTTCCTCTGGACTTCCTCAACAATGAGATCCTGACTGATGTCACAGAGTCCACCTCAGTCGATGTGCTGCTGACAAACCTCATCAGGGGAAAGCTGCTTCCCTCTGCTCGCATCTGGATAACCACACGACCTGCAGCAGCCAATCAGATCCCTCCTGAGTGTGTGGACATGGTGACAGAGGTCAGAGGGTTCACTGACCCACAGAAGGAGGAGTACTTCAGGAAGAGATTCAGAGATCAGGAGCTGGCCAGCACCATCATCTTCCACATCAAGACCTCACAAAGCCTCCACATCATGTGCCACATCCCAATCTTCTGCTGGATCTCTGCTTCAGTTCTGGAGAAAATGTTGAAAACCAGAGAAGGAGGAGAGCTGCCCAAGACACTGACTGAGATGTACATCCACTTCATGGTGATTCAGTCCAAAATGAAGAACGTCAAGTATCATGGAAAAAGGGAGACAGATTCCCACTGGAGTCCAGAGACCAGGAAGATGATGGAGGCTCTGGGAAAACTGGCCTTTGAGCAGCTGCAGAAAGGCAACCTGATCTTCTATGATCACGACCTGACAGACTGTGACATCGATATCACAGAAGCCTCAGTGTACTCAGGAGTGTTCACACAGGTCTTTAGAGAGGAGAGTGAATTGTACAAGGAAACAGTGTTCTGCTTCGTCCATCTGAGCATTCAGGAGTTTCTGGCTGCTCTTCATGTCCATCTGACCTTCATCAACTCTGGAGTCAACCTGCTGGCAGAAGAACCAACAACCTCCTGGCTGCTTAAAGTGTTCAGAGACAAGCCTCAACTTAAACATCTCTACCAGAGTGCTGTGGACCAGGCCTTACAGAGTCCAAACGGACACCTGGACTTGTTCCTTCGTTTCCTCCTGGGTCTTTCACTGCAGACCAATCAGAAACTCCTACATGGCCTGCTGAAAGAAACAGGAAGTAACTCACAGATCAACCAGAAAACAGTTGAGTACATCAAGAAGAAGATAAGAAAGAACCCATCTCCGGAGAGAAGCATCAACCTGTTCCACTGTCTGAATGAACTGAATGATAGTTCTCTAGTGGAGCAGATCCAACAGTACCTGAGTTCAGGAAGTCTCTCCACAGATAAACTGTCTCTTGCTGAGTGGTCGGCTCTGGTCTTCATCTTACTGTCATCAGGAAAAGATCTGGACGTCTTTGACCTGAAGAAATACTCTGCTTCAGAGAAGGCTCTTCAGAGGCTGCTGCCAGTGGTCAAAGCCTCCAGGAAAGCTCTGTAAGTGGAGATACAAACAACATTGATCAGTTTTAAAAATGAGAAATAAAATAAATTGTGTTCATTGCTAATCCTTCCCCAGGCTGAGTGGCTGTAAGCTGTCAGAGAGAAGCTGTGAAGCTCTGTCCTCAGTCCTCAGCTCCCAGTCCTCTAGTCTGAGAGAGCTGGACCTGAGTAACAACGACCTGCAGGATTCAGGAGTGAAGCTGCTGTCTGCTGGACTGGAGAGTCCTCACTGTGAACTGGAGACTCTCAGGTCAGACCACAGGTTTTTTTATTGTTGATAGTTTTAATTTAAAACCTGCTCATCCAGCTTCAGGTTCATGTTAATAAAGTTGGTCAACATCTGTATCTTCATGCTGACTTAATCAAAACACTGAGTTTACTGTATTCCCTGGTTCCAGTCTCTCAGGCTGTATGGTCACAGAGCAAGGCTGTGTTTCTCTGGCTTCAGCTCTGAGCTCCAACCCCTCCCATCTGAGAGAGCTGGACCTGAGTAACAACGACCTGCAGGATTCAGGAGTGAAGCGGCTGTCTGCTGGACTGGAGAGTCCACACTGTGAACTGGAGACTCTCAGGTCAGACCACAGGTTTTTTTGTTGTTGATAGTTTTAATTTAAAACCTGCTCTTCCAGCTTCAGGTTCATGTTAATAAAGTTGGTCAACATCTGTATCTTCATGCTGACATAATCAAAACACTGAGTTTACTCTATTCCCTGGTTCCAGTCTCTCAGGCTGTATGGTTACAGAGGAAGGCTGTATCTCTCTGGCTTCAGCTCTGAGCTCCAACTCCTCCCATCTGAGAGAGCTGGACCTGAGTAACAACGACCTGCAGGATTCAGGAGTGAAGCTGCTGTCTGCTGGACTGGAGACTCCTCACTGTGAACTGGAGACTCTCAGGTCAGAGCACAGGTTTTTTTGTTGTTGATAGTTTTAATTTATAACCTGCTCATCCATCTTCAGGTTCATGTTGATGAAGATGGTCGACCTCTGTATGATTTTCCTGCTGCTTTTTAAAACACTGAGTTTACTGTATTCCCTGGTTCCAGTCTCTCAGGCTGTATGGTCACAGAGGAAGGCTGTGTTTCTCTGGCTTCAGCTCTGAGCTCCAACCCCTCCCATCTGAGAGAACTGGACCTGAGCTACAATCATCCAGGAGACTCAGGAGAGAAGCTGCTGTCTGCTGGACGTGAGGATCCACTCTGGAGACTGAAGACACTCAGGTATGGACAGACAGACTGAAGGTGTCTCTAATATCTCAAATGTCATGTTCTTCTTCTCATTTATGACACAGTTATTGAAATTATTTACTTTTTGTGATTCTTTATTACGTTAACTTATAATCGACACGTCCAGGTACGCATCCTTTTTTCTCCTCATAATGCCATCATGAACATCACATTCACGTTGATATCAGCAGGAGGAGAGCTGGTAAACTAAGCCGTTAGCTGTTAGCCGTTGACTGTAAGCAGGTAGCTGTTAGCAGGTAGCTGTTAGCAGGTAGCTGTTAGCAGTTGGTTGTTAGCAGTTAGCCTTTAGCAGTTAGCTGTTAGCAGTTGAATGTGTACGGGATGCCTTGCTGCACATCATCCCGCTTATTACACGGCTACATGATAAACAAACTAACTACTAAGACTCCTGATATGAATTCAGATGATTTTATTGACTTGAAAATGATGGTCATGGTTCCGGTGACGTCACCATACCGAATGGCAGCTTCTCTCCCGGTAAGAGATTAATTTCGCCTCGTTTAATTGCCAAATAAGAAATGTCTCTGTAAAACTAGAAATAGTTAACGGGGCGAAGATGGGAAGAAAGGACGGACAAAAGAAAAACATTGGCTCAGAGTCTACCAACGAAGAAAATACAACGAACAACTCGCCTGCACAGGTCGATGATGAGGAAGCTAGCGCAGAGCCACACGTGGCTAGCTTAGCTAAAGTTCTGGAGGAGATACGGGACTTTCGCAAAGACACAAAACAACAAATAAACAAAATGAAATCCGAGCTTACCAACGGCAACGTTAAAATAGAGGAGGCAGAAATGAGAATTGAAAACGTGAAAGGTGCTGAGCAGGATGATAAAGGTAATGAATCAGCAAGAAAATAAACTGACTGACCAAGAAGGAAGATCCGGACGGGAGAATATAAGGATTTATAAAGTCCCAGAGGAAGTGGAGGGGTCATCTATGGTTGACTTGGCGAAGAGTTTAGTACAAGAGGCACTTGAGATCCCCCCCACCACGGAGCTCGGCATTGAAAGAGCGCAGCGGGCTCTCGTACCGAGGGCCTCCGGAGACAGGGAGGACAAGCCGCGTCAAGAATGATCAAGTTTCTCCGATACTCAACTAAAGACGATATTATACGCAAGCCATGGGAAAATAAAGGTGTTTTTGAACGGGATATTTCGACCAAGATTACCCACCAGCTATTTTGCAAAAACGTAAAGACTACTCCGAGGCAAAGCGAGTGCTAAAGCAGAGAAATATTCGCTTCCAGACCCCGTTCCCTGCTAAACTACGAGTATTTTAGGAGGACGGGGCGAGGCTGTACCAGACTGCTGTGGAAGCATCCTGAGACGTGAAGGACAGAGGACTGCCGTCACCGTGATCACACCGAGAGAGAGGCTGAGCAGCTGTCTGCCTGGGAGACGCTGGGAGGAGAGGAGCGAGGGAGGAATATCAGGGAGAAACTTCCTTCAGGAGACAAGTCCCATCCACCTGAAGATATTAGGAATACATACCCATTGATATGGCACACAAAATCCATCAAGTATTTGGGCATTAACATCCCTAAAGATCTTTCAACATTATTCGAATGCAATTTCCTACCTGTAGAGAACATAATGAAGGAAGATATAGCAAGATGGAACCTAATTCCTTTCTTTAATATTTCTTCAAGAATTGAATGGGTTAAAAAAGATATACTACCTAGATTATTATATCTATTCCAAACCCTACCTAAAGAGATCAACCAAAGTCAATTTAATGAATGAGATAAAATGATATCAAGATATATATGGCAAGGTGAAACACCAAGGGTTCGTCTCAAACCTTTACACCTGGCCAAAGAAGAAGGGGGATGGGGTTTACCCTCTCTCAGAGATTACTATTTCACAACACAGATAAGAACAATGATATGCTGGAGTAACCCAGCATATGATGCTCAATGGAAACATATAGAACAGAAGGTGTACTCCCATACAGGCAATTATAGCTGACAATAACCTACACAATTTCATAAACATTATCACAAATCCATGGGTGAAATGTTCTCTTAAAATGTGGAAAACTATTAAAAAAGAATATAAATTGGAGAATGAAAGTATCTTTCTCAAATGGTGTGCATATGACTCAGATTTCATGCCTAACAGATTGGATACTAGATTTAGGGACTGGGCTCTAAAAGGTCTAACAGCTCTGTGCAAGCTGATGAAAGGGGGAGCATTGCTCAGTTTGGATACCCTCAAAGAGAAATACACTTTGGAGAAACAGGACTTTTATGGATATCTTCAGGTACGGCATTATGTTCATTTGAAAGTGGAAAAAGTGTCAGAGGCAAGTGTAGGTTTGATAGAAATGTTTAGGAAAGCGTATAACGCAGATGTTAACGGTAGAACCATATCATGTGTATACCAAGGATTGACAAACCTTAAAAAATACTCAACTACTTACATAATAAAGAAGATGGAGCAGGAAGGAGGGATACATATATCTGGAGAAGAATGGGTAACAATGTGGAGATATCAATGGAAATGTACCAGCTGGCAGAACTGGAGGGAATATACCTGGAAGAACCTGATAGGATATTTTATTCCGCCCTCTCAGAAGTCCCACTATGATAGGACCCCCCCTATATGTTGGAGGAACTGTGGTGACCAGAATGCAAACCACTTCCATGTATTCTGGGACTGTCCAGGTATCAAAGACTACTGGAAGGAGATACACAACGCCTTACAAGACATTTTCAAAGACATAATACCTCTAGAGCAGTGGTTCCCAAACGGTGTGCCGCGGCACACTGGTGTGCCGTGAGGCAAGTCCGGATGTGCCGTGGGATTTTGTGACAACCATACGTTATTATTGCAATATACAACTACACAAAAATAATAATTTTTTAATTTACTATATCAGTACTTTGTATGCACTCATTTCATAATACAGAGGCAAACTCTATACCTAAAAACAATTCTTTTAAAAAAAATCCTCACGGACGGAACCCCATATTTCGCAGGTAACGCAGTTGCAGGTGGGAATTATACGACCGTGACACATCGAAGGCTGAAGGACAACATTAAAACAAAGAAACACGCAAGAGGGAAAATGGAGCGCTTTCTTGTGCGGAGCAAACCACCAACCACCAGTGCAGAGACTGCCGAAAACCCACCACCGAAAGAAAAGAGGAAAAAAACTGTCAGCAGACAGTATCATGAAAGTTACCTGTCTTCTGGCTTCAGTTGGACCGGGGATGTCAACAATCCTCAACCCGAGTGCGTCGTCTGTCGGGAGAAGTTAGCTAATGCGAACATGGTTCCAAGCAAGCTGAAGAGGCACTTGGAAACCAAACATCCCTTCCATGTTCAGAGAAACTTGGCCTACTTCAAAAGAGCGCGGGATCTGAACCAGAGGCAGCAAGACCGTTTGTTGGATTGTGTGAAAGTGTCTGAAAAGGCAATGGAGGCTAGTTACATGCTAGCGGAGCTCATTGCAAAGCAGAAGAAACCTCACACAATAGCGGAGACACTCATCCTCCCCGCTTGCAAAAAAATTGTAGGTATCATGCTGGGTCCAGATGCCGCAAATGAGCTATCCAAAGTGCCGTCGTCTGATAATACCATCAAAAGAAGAATGGACGACATGTCAGAAGACATTGAGCAACATTTGACAGAGAAACTGCAGGCGAGCGGCAGATTTTCCCTACAAATAGACGAATCTACTGACATAAGTGGGGCTGCCCAACTTCTGGCAAACGTCAGATATGTTGATGCTGACTCTATCAAAGAGACGTTTTTCTTCTGCAAAGAAATGGAAAGCCATACTACGGGAGAAGAAATATTCAGGGTAACTCATAACTATTTAAAAGAGAACAGTCTGACCTGGAATATGTGCGTCAGTCTTTGCACAGATGGTGCAGCAAGCATGACGGGGAGAGTGAAAGGATTTATTGCTAAGGTGAGAGCACAAAACCCACATATCGTCACAAACCACTGCATTTTGCATAGAGAGGCATTAGTTGCCAAAACCATGCCCCCGGAGTTGACTGAGGTGCTGAATCAGGCTGTGCAGATGGTGAATTACATCAAATCAAGGCCCCTGAAATCTCGCCTCTTCTCCCAGCTGTGCGCCGAGATGGGAGCCGACCACCAAAGCCTGATCCTCCACACAGAGGTACGTTGGCTGTCACGGGGGAAAGTCCTATCCCGTCTTTATGAGCTTCGGGAAGAGCTTTTGGAGTTTTCACGTGAACACGCTGTCCCACATAAAGACAAGCTCGCGGATGAGAGGTGGTGCGCCAGGCTGGCTTACCTCGCTGACATATTTGGGCATCTCAACGAGTTAAACGCCAAGCTTCAGGGCAGGAATGAAAACATTTGATCATCCACAGACAAGATTCGGGGGTTTATGGGCAAACTTATCCTGTGGCGCGAGGCTTTGGAACAGGGCTCCATGGACATGTTCACGCTGGCATCAGCTGCGCCGCAGGCAGCAAGGGAGCGCGCTGTATATGCCGAACACCTTCAGACCTTAAAAGAGAGGTTCGACCGCTATTTTCCACATGTGGCTGACATCGAGGACTATGACTGGATCCGAGACCCATTCCACCCGGAATTCCCAACAGAAAAGCTCACTATGAAAGAGAGAGAGGAGTGCGCAGAGCTCCGTGTGGACCGCACACTGAAACTCAAATTTAGTGAGCTCCCACTGGATCAGTTTTGGTTGGCTTCTGCATCGGAGTACCCAAGCATCTCCCACCACGCAATTGAGCAACTTCTTCTTTTTCCCACTACCTACCTGTGTGAGTTGGCGTTCTCTACTCTGGTTTACATGAAGAACAACAGGAGGTCACGGCTCTCTGTTGAACATCTGCGCGCCCCGACAGGCACATGTATCTCACTAATTTGTAAGTCGGCAAAATATTTACAATAGCACATGTTTCAATGCTGAAATGTTACATTTATAATTTGTAGTTCAGGACCATGGACAGTGCAGCTTCCTTGCATTGACAGTTCTCTGTGCTGAATTTCTGCTGAGTTTCCTTTGCCTCATTTTTTATTTTGTGACCTGTCTGGTTTAAATGAGTGTGTTGCTGCTTTGATGAAGCCTAATTTGATAAAGTTTCAAATTAATTGAAATATTTCGTTAATAACTATTTCATGAGTAATATAGTTGTCTTTGTCACATTTTATTTGGCATTAGTAAATAATTAAGCACATTTACAGATATTTTACATGATATGAGTGATAACACGTGTGAAAAGGGCTATTTTGCACAATACGTGTGCCGTGAGATTTTTACTTGTCCTTTGGTGTGCCTTGGGCACAAAAAGTTTGGGAACCACTGCTCTAGAGATCAAGATGTTATATTTTAGGAATTTGAGAAAGGACAAATACTTCTTGAACATTCTGCTGAAAAGGCATTAACCAGGAAGTGGTTATCGAAGCATAGGCCGACTCTAAATGGATGGATGGACATCTCAATGGATATTTATAATATGGAAAAGATAACAGCATCTGTCAATCATACATTGGTCAATTTACTCCAACCTGTGAGAAGTGGACTCACTTTGTAAAGCCCTAAAGGCCTGACTTAGTTTCCACAGATCCAGAACTCTGCTGGAAAGAAATGTCTACTCCCTAATTGTTCACTGTTCTATTTTATTTTCATTTCTTTCTTTATGTCTCTCTCCTCTGTGTTTTTTGTGTCATCATGTGTATATTGCTGAAAAGAACTATGAATAGATGTATGTCCTTCATGTAAAGATGCAATGTACAATATGCTGTGACAATGTTTGACACTAAACGCCAACCTTTTCAGAATAAAAAAGCTTGCTCTAAGAAAGTAACCTCTGTTCCACGAGGTACCAGCAGCTAGGACTCATGTTGGATAGAACATCATCCTGACTGTGTTTCTTCCTCCAGGCTGGACCATGGTGGAGAGCAGAGGTTAAAACCAGGTCTGAGGAAGTGTAAGTGTGGATCAGTCAGCTTCTCTCTAAAGACAAAGATGATGGAGGTGGTATTTATTCATTAAAACATGACTGGCATGCATCGCCTTTAAACTCTATAATAATAATAATAATACATGACACTTATATAGCGCTATTATAGAAAGGATCACTAACAGAGAGTAAAGCCTTCAGGTGGGTCCAGGGGCCTCATTTATAAAGCCTTGCGTGCGGCACGTCCTACGCCGGTTTCCCTTTATAAATCACAATCAACTCGAAATGCGGCGCAGCTTTTGCGGGCTTCACGTAACGCCCATATTTGCCTATAAATAGTCAAAGAAACGCCCCGTATTAATATTCATTCTGACTGACTGCAGAAGAAGATCGCAGGGAATGACGACAGAACAGCTAAAAAAGACATTTCACACCGACGTGAAAAAGTTAGTAACTCACTCACACCACGCTCCTCCGACCGTTGTGAGAGAGAGAGAGAGAGAGAGAGAGAGAGAGAGAGAGAGAGAGAGAGAGAGAGAGAGAGAGAGAGAGAGAGAGAGAGTAGAGAGAGAGAGAGAGAGGATAGAGAGTCGATAGATAGAGAGATAGAGCTATATATAGATAGATAAGATCTGATAGTAGATCATATATATATATCTATCTGAGATCTATATATCTTCTCTCTCTCTCTCTTCTTCTCTATCTCTTCGCTCTCTCTCTCTCATCTCTCTCTCTCTCTCTGCTCTCTCTCTCTCTCTCTCTCTCTCTCTCCTCTCTCTCTCTCTCTCTCTCTCTCTCTCTCTCTCTCTCTTCTCTCTCTCCTCTCTCTCTTCTCTCTCTCTCTCTCTCTCTCTCTCTCTCGCTCTCTCTCTTCTCTCTCTCTCTCTCTCTCTCTCTCTCTCTTCTCTCTCTCTCCTCTCTCTCTCTCTCTCTCTCTCTCTCTCTCTCTCTCTCTCTCTCTCTCTCTCTCTCGCTCTCTCAGCGTGTTACCCCCTTAGATCAGGTCTCTAGTGATGGTGTGCTCAAAGTGATTGAAGCATGTCACTTGAACATGTGCAGCTGGAGTCTTTCAGCAACTGGGTCAGAACCTGCTGAACTAGCTGCATCACCTTTAAACTTTATAATAATAATACATGACTCTTATAGAGCGCTGTTATAGAAAGATCACTAACAGAGAGGAAAGCCTTCAGGTGAGTCTGGTGATAAACTGCTGTCTGTGTCTCTCCTCAGATTCCTGTGGACTCACCCTGGACTCAAACACAGTACAGAGAGACCTCAAACTGTCTGAGGACAACAGGAAGGTGACACATGTGGGAGAGGGTCTGCCACATCCTGATCATCCAGAGAGGTTTGACTCCTGGAATCAGCTGATGTGCAGAGAAGCTCTGACTGGTCGCTGTTACTGGGAGGTCGAGAGGAGAGGAGGGGTTCATATAGCAGTGACTTACAGAGGAATCAGCAGGAAAGGAGGCAGAGATGACAGTGAGTTTGGAAGGAATGATCAGTCCTGGAGTCTGAAATGCTCTGATAGAGGTTACTCTGTCCGGCACAATAAGAGAGAAACAAGCACCTCCTCCTCCTCCTCCTCCTCCTCCTCCTCCTCCTCCTCCTCCTCCTCTCGTAGAGTAGCAGTGTATCTGGATCATGCTGCTGGCTCTCTCTCCTTCTACAGAGTCTCCTCTGACACACTGACCCACCTCCACACCTTCAGAACCACATTCACTGAACCTCTCTACGCTGGGTTTCGGTTAGGGTTCTGGTCATATGACTCCTCAGTGTCTCTGTGTCCTCTGTAGGAGGAGATCACTTCCTGTCCTGGGTTTAAGGGTTGCTGTTTTAAATCTGGCTCACTGATTGTGTCTTTACTGTCAGAAGTGTTTTTATTCTGAAGGCTGTGTCCCCAGAGAGTCTTTTATTCTGAAGGCTGTGTCCCCAGAGAGTCTTTTATTCTGAAGGCTGTGTCCCCAGAGAGTCTTTTATTCTGAAGGCTGTGTCCCCAGAGAGTCTTTTATTCTGAAGGCTGTGTCCTCAGAGTCTTTTATTCTGAAGGCTGTGTCCCCAGAGAGTCTTTTATTCTGAAGGCTGTGTCCCCAGAGAGTCTTTTATTCTGAAGGCTGTGTCCCCAGAGAGTCTTTCATTGGGTGATGAATCTCTCCTTATCAGTTCAGTTATAAGTTGGACAGATGAATCAAAAGGTCAATGATTGTTGATTCTTGAAAATGCTTTAAGAAACACAACAGCCTTCATCTCAGCTCTCCAGAGGGTTTACTTTATTGAGTTAGCAGCTCATTCCTTCAAACAGAAACTTCAGAGTGATTATAATGAGAGCAGATAGAAAGAAAGGTGGGCACACATGAATACCGTGATATATATTTGTACATATATATTGAAGTAGTACAATATATGACAAGTTTAATCTGTGGGCCATATCTCATTATACTGTCTGAATTAGCTGAGGGCCCAAAGTGTTGTTTAATGTTTAATAAAATGGCGGCTATGTCAACTGTTGAAGAAAGGAAGAAAATGGAACAATGTATTTTATTATATAAAGCTTAAATATGTTAAAAACTGTGTTAAACTCTGAATGCCATAGTCATGTATCGTATAGTTTAACGCTTTAGCAATATAAACAGGATGTATAACAGAAATCCTTACATGGGTACTTGTAAAGACCTATGTAGCAAAGTACGCACTTCCTCTTTCCAGGAGATGAACATCTGTTATGCACTTCCTTGCGGGAAGTGAACATTTAACCATAAAGCAACAAAGAAGGACACCTGATGTGACAAACCACGTGAACAAAGAGGATATAAGGAGACTGAAGAACATTTGAAATCAGTTCCTCTTGAACTCAGTTCTTCTTGCAGAAGACTGAAGAACCCCCGATACTAACTAGTAGTGGGGCAAACCTAGACGGAGCAGATATCATCTATATCTGAGCTAAACGCAGTTCATTATAGTGTGTGGTGTTATAACTTGTGAAACTTTAAATAAAACGACCTGTTCACACTTGTGAGAGGAAACTAAAGTTCACGTAGCCCTTCTGATTATTGCTGGATAAGTGACAAATGAGACGGAAATGTAACCTGTTCCCACATAGCTTGAGTCCTGAGTCCAGACTGATTCCAGCGTCCTGTCTCCTTGGCTGAGGATCGATCCCTGACGGAGTCTGCAGTCTCCCAGAGAGAACAGCGGGTAAGTCGCACCTAGGTAACTCTGTTGCTGAATTCTGGGTCATATTGGAGGTCGCCGTGATCGATTGATCTGAAATACGGCAGCAGTGCTTTACGGGTATTGAATCCCAAGGTTTCAGAGGTGTGTTCATTAAGGTCTGTGATCAAAGTCTAAAGGGAGAAACTAACAGGGGAAAGTTCAATGGTGTAAAATTGATGAATGGAGGTAGTATAGAAAGAAGGGAGTTTGTCGGTACCTCGAGGTGGTGTGTGAGGACTGAGTAAAAACCGTATCAATTACACAACTTCAGATTGTGTTCCTTCTATGTTTTACTCCTCATTGAAAAGAACCTTCTACATACATCATGTGATCGTGTGTTGAGTGTTACAGAGCAATGTTACATACACCTGAACATCAGCAGAACCCTTTAAAGTGCAGAAGATCTGATTGATTTGACCTTGTGTTTTTAAAAAGTGACTCTCACCTGAAACACTCGCGGTGTGGAGAGTCTGTGTTTTCCTCAGTAACCTTTCTGCTGATATTTACAGCTGTATCTATGAAGGAACATCTCCTCAATGTGTGACTTGATCTCAAGACTATTTAAGGTTTTTTTGGTGTAAAGGTTTCATTAGTTTCACATCATGTTGTGACTTTGTGAGGATGCAGTGAGATCATGAAGCAGAGGAGAGAAGAAGAGGAGATTCTCTGGCTCCCTGTTTCCCTTCTGTAGCATGTACAAGTATTTATATACAGAAGTACTTTAATAAAGACCAACAAAGTATGCGTTTGTTGACTAATAACACTTGTGTTATGCAGTTAACTATTAACACATTTCTATTCAATATTATATATTTCTAATAAACATGAAGTAAAACGTATCTACTTCTTTCAAGTTTATTACAAACAATTCTTATTCTTGTCTTTATCAGGGATAGTTTTGAAGTAACCAATATGGACCTGTATTGAAGCTCATGGTTTGTGTGCTGTGGATAAATAATGAAATGTAACCATGACATGTAATATGAACTAAGAAGCTATTGGTGTTATAATGTCTGTCTTTTAACAAAGAGAAAACATATAGAAATTCTAAACATAGCAGATTTAAATACAGCGTAAAAATAAGAGGGGAATGTATTATACGGAGGAGGGTCAGGGACCAACACAGTACACAGTACTCCCTGATCGTCCAAGAGCGACGCTTGGTCAGGGTCCTTTGGCGTGCATTTGTGACGCGCCGAGTCTCCTTCAGCTTCATAAACGGACGCAAAGAGCTTTCAACTGATTGCAATGTATTCCCATCGGCGGCGGTCTTTGACACTCAGGGAAAATGCCAGCTTCAAAAATATGGAAAAATTATCGACTAACTTGCAAAATCAGTTAATTACAGGTCCAGTACATACAGGTATATGTGGAGGAAACTTCTGTGTAGTAATGCATGGAGTCACCGACTCAGGAAGGAGACACGGTGAGAGTTGGAGCTTTGATGTCAAACACTGATGGGTTTATTCAGAGTATTCGGCCGGAGGATTCACATCACAATTCAAAGAGTCAGAGGTTCTGACCACACGGTAGAGTTGCCACATCAATTCTGAAGAACCTCTCTCTATGCTAGACCTTTTAACAGGTTCACAGAGAGAAATCAACATCTCTGAAGGAGTAGACTAAACACTGAATCATCTGCGTCCGACGCTCATGGCCTCAAGGATTTCACATCCTAGAGCCCACAAACACCGATAAAGAAGTGCCTCAGTGTTCCCACAACAATTACCCTTCGTGCCAGACAAGTTGACCGGTCTCACACTGGTGACAACAACACATATGGCACCAAGGCCTTTCCTTAAAGGAGATAACACATGTCAGAGTAAAAGGTTAGATATCTAGAAGAATTATTCCTTAACAGTTCCTCTCTTTTTATCATTTTTGATAACCTTAAAACATTAGTCTAATAATTCTGGTCAATACTTAAATCAATAGGCGTCTTCAGATTCGAGTGTGGTCTCACCTTACATTCAATTACATCACAAAGTAGAGTAAGATTGAAACATTCAATCACAATGATTGATACAGGCAATCATAATAGGAACAATTATCTCTCATCAGTGTTTGGAGCATCTTTTGTCAATAAGTACAATAATAAACACACATAAAAACACAGATACATAATAGCAAAATATTTGTTTTAAACTAATATCTTTTATCATTTAAACCATTAGTTAATGTCATTTATCAAACTATAAAATCAAAACCAGAAACAGCTTAAAGATTTGCTTTAAGGCAATCACTAGTCAAAAGCATTTAAAACTTAGGATCATCAGAGATCCAGCTAAGGCATAACATTCACAGTGGTGATTTGATCAATCTGTAATCGGCAAAGTTGCAGTGTCCTCAATTTTAGGATTACTTTACGTTTACTTCATTACGCTTTAGTCAAGAGTAAGGCACTTAGTCTTAGTAAAATCAATACATTCATTTTAGTCTGAAAAGGAAAAGTTAGGCAAATATTCAAAGACTTTTGTAAAAACCTGGAAAGGAAAGATTAAACATTCTTAAAACTTTAATTCATACATTTGTAAATGCTACAACTGATCTGTACCAAATTAAGTCTATCACTTATTCTTATTAGCCATACTTACCTGAACATCTACTTATGGTACTTGGAAAGGGTTCTTCTGTGTTTATCTAATGTTGAATATAGAATATCAATTTCTTTAAATTATAATTCTCTAATTTGAGGATCAAATATGCTACATAATTGTTATATCAATTATTATAAATATTTGTTTTGGGCCAAAACTGAAATTAATCCAGTACTTGAAACATCATGTTAGGTCTGTCTGTGCATGGGTAATACATTAAAGAGTTGTGTTGTTAAGCCTGATTGCTGGATGATTAAGGATATTAACATTATCTGTTATAATATTAGAAATACCTTATTATTCAATACTTTATAATCTGAGAATATTTATTTATTAATTTTGTTTAGTGTGAAAATGTAATCTGATCTGACTAAATATATTTATCACCACTATTTAACACATGTCTGGTCATTGGAAATATAAAAAACAATCATTAATTGTACATCTTTAAACATCTGGTCATTCAATTCAAAGTTCATCTTTGTACGAGAGCTGGAAGAACATGTCCGTCAGTCTTCGTTCTCCTCCTCCCTTTATGACACTGAGTGTCTGGTATGTAAAGGCATCCTGATACTGTAGATTAGCACTGAGGTGCTGATTGGCTCAAACTCTTCTTCATCAGAGCGCCATATTTCAACACCCCCAATTGCTCTGCTTTTGTGTGGCTCATCCAGTGAGCACTGTAGCTGATCCCCCAGTGAGACGGAGGCTCATCTGCCGGTATTCCTTCTGCTATCTGCTTGAGTACAACTGCGTAGTCCTGATGCATCCAGGTGTCCCCCCCGTGATGGGAGAGGTTAGGAAGACATCAAACTCCTCCAAGAAACATGGAACCTTGTATTATAGAAGCCTCTGAAGCCCTCGCTCGTCCTGCAGGGTTGTCTGCTAGAGCCCACCGAGCAGAAAGATGAAGAGAAGAACCCCCTCTTAGCAGAAAGGTGAAGAGAAGCATCCCATCTTATCAGAAAGGTGAAGAGAAGCATCCCATCTCGAACGACCTCGTGCTTCCTTGCACATGGCTGGGGGTGCTCTCTGCACCCGGAGAGTGTGACCCTCTCTCTCTGACCCTTGGCCTTGAGAGCTGTCCTAGTTATTGGGTTAACACCTGATAGGGATGTTTTTTCTGAGTGAAGACAACTCAAAG